GTCGCGGGGGAGTCTCCGCCCGCACCCGTGGAGCGCCCTCTCGCCCAGGAGTGCAGCGAGGAGCGCGAAGGCCAGGGAAAGTCTTCCTCCTCCTCCGCCTCCTGCTCCTCCGCCTCCTCCGCCTCCTTCTCCGCCTCCTCCTCCTCTGGGGAAACCACAGGGTACCGATATCGGAGGGAACGCATTTCACGGACGCTTGCCTTGGGAACATTCGGCGGCGCGTTTCGAACCGGGGGGGGGCCCCCCGTGAAAAAAAGAGAACGCCCCAGGGGTCCGTTCCCGTTCCCGTTCCCGTTCCCGTTCCCGTTCCGTTCCCGTTCCCGTTCCCGTCGTCGTCGTCGTCGTCGTCGTCGTCGTCGTCGTCGTCGTCGTCCCGTCGTGGTCGTCGTGCGTCGTCGTCCCGTCGTGGTCGTCGTGGTCGTGGTCGTCGTCGTTGTCGTCGTCGTCGTGGTCGTCGTGGTCGTCGTCGTCGTCGCGGTCGTGGTCTCTGTCCACCCTGAAGGGGGGTCAAGAGGGAGGCTCCAGAAAGGCTGCGGACGCTTGGAGGCGTGTTGGGCTCTCCTGAGAGGCCTCTCGGGGGCCTCTTGGAAGCATGTTGCAGGTCTCTTGGGGCCCGTAGGGGTCTTCTTGGGGACGTCAGGGCGGAGGACTTGGTGGTCTCCTGGGAGTTCGTTGGCGGTCTCGGAAGGTCTTTGTCAGACGTCTAGTAGTAGTAGTAGTCGTAGTAGTAGTAGTAGTAGTAGTAGTAGTAGTAGTAGTAGTAGTAGTAGTAGTAGTAGTAGTAGTAGTAGTAGTAGTAGTAGTAGTAGTAGTAGTAGTAGTAGTAGTAGTAGTAGTAGTCGTAGTCGTAGTAGTAGTAGTAGTAGTAGTCGTAGTAGTAGTAGTAGTAGTAGTAGTAGTAGTAGTAGTAGTAGTAAGAGTAGTAGTAGTAGTAGTAGTAGTAGTAGTAGTAGTAGTCGTAGTAGTAGTAGTAGTAGTAGTAGTAGTAGTAGTAGTAGTAGTAGTAGTAGTAGTAGTAGTAGTAGTAGTAGTAGTAGTAGTAGTAGTAGTAGGTAGTAGTAGTAGTAGTAGTAGTAGTAGTAGTAGTAGTAGTAGTAGTAGTAGTAGGGGAGGCCGTGGGAGGCTTGCCGTTCCTGTTCCCGTTCGCGTATCTTCGGTCGGCTCGAAGGCTCAGGGGGGGTAGACGGGCACGTGACCGGGCGGGAACGGAACGGGAACGGGAACGGGAACGGGAACGGGAACGGGAACGGGAACGGGAACGGAACGGGAACGGGAACGGGAACGGGAGCGGGAACGGGAACGGGAACGGGAACGGGAACGGACCTATAGGGCGTTCTCGCGCTTTTACGGGGGCCCCCCCCCAACACTCGGCGCCGTCGATCGAAACCAGGGGGACTCCCCTCCCCCCCAACCCCCCCCCTTCCCGAACCCCCCCCTCCTCGGCGCCGGCGCCGGCGGCCGCCAGCAGCGCCGACGGCAGGGACGCAGCGACGATGACCAGAGGCAGCCCAACCCCCCCCCCTGGCGCCCGCGCCGGCGCTGGCGGCGGCCAGCAGCGAGGGCGCTGGCGCCAGCGACGGCGGGGACGCAGCGACGATAACCAACACTACCACCACCACCACCACCATTACCACCACCACTACCACCGCCTCAACCCACCACCACCACCACCACCACCACCACCACCACCACCAACAACAACAACAACAACAACAACAACAACAACAACAACAACAACAACAACAACAACAACAACAACAACAACAATTATTCACTGCGTGGAGCTCCCCATATGTGCATCTACTCGCATGGACCTGTCCGCCGTGAATGTCTAGGCGCAAGAGCTTTCGAATATTAACAGGCTTCAGTTGTGACGGTCTGGACATCAATCTAACTGCGAATGAATTGGAGTGTGAATGAGCCTCAGTAGTACGAGCGCGTCTCTGTGCATGAGCCTGGGGCCTCCTGGGGCCTCCTGAAACCTACTGGGGCTTCCTGGGGTCTCCAGGAGCCTCTTGGGACCTCCTGGGACCTCCTAGGAAGGTTTCGTGCCCCAGGAGAGGCGCAATCTATAGCAACAGACGTACATAAAACATTGCGGATTAGAGCCACAGGAGAAGGGCAATCTATAGGAACACGCGTAAAACACCAAGGACTCGTGCCCCAGGAGAGGCCCAATATATAGGAACATGAGTAAACATTTAGGATTGTGTACACAGAGAAGGACCATCTATAGAAACATACGTAGAACATCAAAGAATCGTGCTCCAGGTGAGGCCCAATCGATAGGAGCATACGTAAAACACATGGGATTGGAGCCACTCCTGTTGCCTTCTGAGGCCTCCTGCTCCTGGGGCCTCTCGGGGCCTCCTGTTGCCTTCCGAGGCCTCCTGGCGCTTCCTGTTGCCTCCTGGGGCCTCCTGTGGTTTCCTGAGGCCTTCTGGAGCTTCCTGGGGCCTCCTGGAGCCTCTTGGGACATCCTGTGGCCTCTTGAGTCTTTCTGTGGCCTCCTGATGCCTCCTGGTACCTCATGTGGTCTCCTGGGGCCTCCTGGAGTCTGGCCCACCTGGGGGGTGAAAATGAGCGCCTCGCTCGAGACATCCTCCAAATCTGCTCCGAAAGCGAAGGATGTTGAGCCCAGAAACAAGCAAACCGCCTGAGACATCCCCACAAAATGGCCGCGAACGAGCCCGTGCAACCACCCCTGGCGGCTCCCCTTAGGGCCACGAGCCTGGCCACCAAAACAAGCAAACCGATCGAGACATCCTCAAAATCTGGCCCACCTGGGGGGTGAAAATGAGCGCCTCGCTCGAGACATCCTCCAAATCTGCTCCGAAAGCGAAGGATGTTGGCCCAGAAACAAGCAAACCGCCTGAGACATCCCCACAAAATGGCCGCGAACGAGCCCGTGCAACCACCCCTGGCGGCTCCCCTTAGGGCCACGAGCCTGGCCACCAAAACAAGCAAACCGATCGAGACATCCTCAAAATCTGGCCCACCTGGGGGGTGAAAATGAGCGCCTCGCTCGAGACATCCTCCAAATCTGCTCCGAAAGCGAAGGATGTTGGGCACAGAAACAGGCAAACCGCCTGAGACATCCCCACAAAATGGCCGCGAACGAGCCCGTGCAACCACCCCTGGCGGCTCCCCTTAGGGCCACGAGCCTGGCCACCAAAACAAGCAAACCGATCGAGACATCCTCAAAATCTGGCCCACCTGGGGGGTGAAAATGAGCGCCTCGCTCGAGACATCCTCCAAATCTGCTCCGAAAGCGAAGGATGTTGGCAAGACAAACAGGCAAACCGCCTGAGACATCCCCACAAAACGGCCGCGAACGGGACCGTGCAACACCCCTCGGCGGCTCCCCTTAGGGCCACGAGCCTGGCCACCAAAACAAGCAAACCGATCGAGACATCCTCAAAATCTGGCCCACCTGGGGGGTGAAAATGAGCGCCTCGCTCGAGACATCCTCCAAATCTGCTCCGAAAGCGAAGGATGTTGGCAAGACAAACAGGCAAACCGCCTGAGACATCCCCACAAAACGGCCGCGAACGGGACCGTGCAACACCCCTCGGCGGCTCCCCTTAGGGGTGCTGAAACCAGCGCCCCGCCTGAGACATCCTCGCAATCTGCTGTTTATCGAATAAGTCAGACAATGAGAAGGTCTGAGTATGAGTAATTCTGAGTATGAGTAAGTCTGTGTATGAGGAACTCTGAGTAAAAGGAGGAGGAGAAGGAGGAAGTCTGAGTATGAGTAAGTCTGAGTATGAGTAGGTCTGGGTATGAGTAGGTCTGAGTATGAGTAAGTTAATGTGATCAGGTCTGAGTATGAGTGAGTCTGTGTATGAGTAAGTCTGTGTATGAGTAAGTCTGTGTATGAGTGAATCTGAGTATGAGTGAGTCTAAGTAGGAGGAGACGAGAAGAGGGGAGGAGGAGAAGAAGAAGGAGTAGGAGGCGTCCAAGTAATAACAAGAACCCCATCTTAGGATATGGGGAACAACCCGCCACCACACCACCACCACCACCACCACCACAGCCATCACCACCACAACCACCACCACCACAATTCACCATCACCACCACCACCACCACAAAAACCCACCACCACTACCACCACCACCACCACTCTATCACGCCACCACCACCAACGCCACAACCACCACCACTACCAGCAGCACAACCCACCACCACCACAAACCACCAAACCACCACCACCACCGCCACCACCACCACCACCACCACCTCTACAAACCACCGCCACCACCACAACCCACCACCACCACAACAAACCACCACCACACCACCACCACCACCACCACCACCAAACACCACACCACCACCACACCACAAACCACCACCACACCACCACACACCACCACCACCACCGCCACCACCACCACCCACCACCACCACCACAACCACCACAACAAACCACCACACCACCACCACAACCACCACCACCGCCACCACCACCACCGCCACCACCACCAGCACAACCCACCACCACCACCACCACCACCGTCGTCCTCATCGACGCTCCCCGCCGCCCGCGGCCCGCCGCCGCAGGCGCCGGCGCCGGCCCAGAAAAGGAAATCGTCGTCCCCGCTGCGCCGCCGCCAGCCGAGGAGAGGGAGAGAGGAGAAGCAGGGGAGGGGGTGGGGTTCGACCCCCCCCCCCTCCGTCACGGGAGGGGGGGAGGGGGGGGAGGGTTCGAGACCCCCCCCTCCATCCAGGGGGGGGGGTCCGGGTCTAAATCCACCCCCCCCTTCAAGCAACCACAGAACGCGCTCTTTCCGATATCGCTACTCCCTGGACCTCGCCTGGAGGGCATTCTGACCAGGAATTCGAGGAGACTCCAGACGTGGCGACGAGGGCCCTCCAGGACGAGGAGCGGAACCCGTAGATTGTCCTCATATGATCCTCCTCTTCCTCCTGCCCCCCCCCCCGCCTCCTCGTGGAGGACGCTAAAGCAAGAGAAGGGCAGAGCAGGCGTTGATGCCTCACCCTCGATCTTTGCGGCCTCCTCGGGGGTGAGGGTGTCGGCTTCCTTCTCCTTCAGCTTCTCGATCTGCGAGAGCTTCTTGCGCAACGCCTTGGGCGCGAGGCATGCACAAGGAGGCGGGGGGGGGGGGGGGGGGAACACAGCCAGGCCAGGTAATGCTACGTGCTCCCGCAGATGAATGTGCCCCGCGATGTGCGGCAGCAGCGCCTCTGGGCCATGCCTCGAAGAAACCTGGTCCAGGCGGTGGCCGCCGCGGGCCCCAGGCCCAGAACCCACGCCAGGGCTTCCCGCTGTGTCACGGAGGTGGGGGCCCGCTCGGGTGCCTCTGGGCCGAGGAGGGGGAGGGGAGGGAGGGGAGGGAGGGGGAGGCGGAGGACCGCCATGCCCGTTGGGGGGAGGTTCGAGAACGTCGGAAGAGAAGAAGGGCGCAAGGCCACCCGAGGAGACCCCATTGCTCTCAAGCAGGGGGGGGACGTCATCCCTGCGGGAGGCCACCCACAGGCCCAGCACTTCGGATGAAGAGGAGAGGAGAGGAGAGGAGAGGAGAGGAGAGGAGAG